AATGGGCATTCGGTATTCGTCCATCTCCACCCTAAGCCACTTCACACAGAGCTGGATCAGATACAGTAAAAATCAAGAGGCAAGTATCAGTTTCATTTTCATCTCAAAATGGCAATTTGGGTCATCTGTTTGAAGTAACTGATTAATAACGAACTCCTGCTAGCAAGACTAACAGGAGGTTTTAAGAGATATCAATCTCCCCTTTTACTTTATCTTACACTTCCCTAGGCTCTCTGGTTTGCTGCTTTTCCTACTACAACTCTCCCCTGCTATCTCTTACAGTTTACCCTCACATTAAATTCATATTCATCCCAACTTACTAATGTGCAGCTTACGGCCCCTCTGAATTCAGTGCTATGAGTTGTATACAATCTTTAACATAGACCAAACTACTCCTCTTCTCATATTAATGTCTAGTTTAAACTACTATTGTACTAGGCAACAGGTTTAAAACAAACCAAAGGAAGTATTTCTTCACACAATGCACAGGCAACCTGTGGAACTCCTTGCCAGAGGATGCATGAAGACCAAGACTATAACAGGATCCAAAAAAGGAATTAGATAAATTGATAGAGGATAGGTCTATCCAAGGCTATTAGCCAGGATGGGCAGGAATGGTGCCCCTAGCCTCTGTTTGTCAGAAGCTGGAAATGGGTGATGGGAGGGATCACTGGATGATTCTCTGTTTTGTTCACTCCCTTTGGGACACCTGGCATTGGCAGACAGGACACTGGGCTGGATGGACCTTTGGGCTGACCCCATCTGGCCGTTCTTATGGTCTTAGGAGCTTTATTTATATTTCAAGCCTGCATAAGAAAGCCCACAGAACTTCAGACAGTGATTCCAGTTTCAAGCCCATCACTTGTGGTTGAAACTGCAGCACGTTTTTTAGAAAGACGCCCAGTCTTGGCTTACAGACATTTCGGTGATAAGGGATCCAGCCATTCTGGTAACGGTTTCGCCAATGCTGTACGTAAAGCTAATGCCCCTTTCTCTTTTCCTATTCCCCTGCATATGCTGTGCTAGCACCCTGAGCAGCAGCATGACGCTGGGAGATCATGTACCATGACCCCCAAGTCCATTTCAGAGTCACTGCTTTCCAGGGGGCACCCCCCCTGGCCTTTCATTGAGACCTACTCTCTTTGTTCCTTGATACAAGACTTCGCATTTGCCTGTATCAAAAGACCAGCTGTCCAAGTGAGCCCAGCGAGCAAAGTTAGCAAGTCAGTCTGTGTAACTGACCTGTCTCATCATCGCTTGCCCTGCTACCAACTTATGAGGCATCTGAAAAATTTACCAGCAGTGATTTTATATTTTCGCAAACCCTTCCTTTGGATGATTGCCTTGTAAGATCAATCAGCTAGTTACATTTTAATTGCTGTAAAGGCGCTATACTGGGTTTTTCTAGCGCTAACACTGTACAGATCTAAATCAAACGCTTTCGAGATGCTCTCCCATGTCAACATAATGACCTTTATCAATTAAACTTGTAATCTCAAAAAACAATATCAAGTTTAGCTGACAAGATCTATTTTCTATACGGCTGTGTTGATTGGCATTAATTATGCTACTGTTTTTTACTTCTTTACTGAGTAAGGCTTGTATCAGCCTGTCCATGTATTTGCCCGTGATAAACATCAGGTTAATTGACCTTATCATTCATCTGGTTCATCTTGGTAGATGGGAATAACTGTGGGGACAATATGGTTAATGAGAAAACAGAGCTATACATCATCCCAAATGCCAGGGGAAAGTTAACAGCAGTGCAGAGGGGGGAATTTTGTATGTTAACAGCACACCAGGAAGAAATAGAAAGTAGTCCTAAGAGAAGAGTAGTCTCTGGGAAAAGACAATAGGGAAAAGAAATTTACTTCTCTGGCCGCTGGGTGGCAGGAAGAACACATCAGAGACCAGTTCATGGCAAAAGATGAATACTAGAAAGCAATGTAATTCAGTACATTCCCAGAGATAACATCCCTGCATTTGCATTAGGCAACACAAATAACAACAATTCTGCTTACACAAGGGAGATCATGCAAACAGTACTTCAACAAAATGTTCGAGCTTCAAACACCTGTAGGCAAGACTCTTCCTTGGTGGACCCAGAAACACCTTGCGTTTGCAATTTTAAAACCGGGGAAACATTTTCAAAAGCATGGGAAGTGACTTAAATGCCTAACCCCCACTGGCTTTAAAGTAAGCTACTAAGACTTACTTTAGTCCAAGAAAGAGATCTTGGCGTTATCGTGGATAGTTCTCTGAAAACTTCCACACAGTGTACAGCGGTGGTCAAAAAGGCAAATAGGATGCTAGGAATTATTAAGAAAGGGATAGAAAATAAGATACAGAATATCTTACTGCCCCTGTATAAAACTATGGTACGCCCACATCTTGAATACTGTGTACAGATGTGGTCTCCTCACCTCAAAAAAGATATTTTGGCCTTGGAAAGGGTTCAGAAAAGGGCAACTAAAATGATTAGGGGTTTGGAACGGGTCCCATATGAAGAGAGGCTACAGGAACTGGGACTGCTCAGTTTAGAAAAGAGGAGACTGAGGGGGGATATGATAGAGGTCTATAAAATCATGAGTGGTGTGGAGAGGGTGAATAAAGAAAAGTTATTTATTAGTTCCCATAATAGAAGAACTAGAGGACACCAAATGAAATTAATGGGTAGCAGGTTTAAAACTAATAAAAGAATGTTCTTCACAAAGCGTGTAGTCAACCTGTGGAACTCCTTGCCAGAGGAGGCTGTGAAAGCTAGGAATATAACAGAGTTTAAAGAGAAGCTAGGGTATGTCTACACTACCACCCTAGTTCAAACTAGGGTGGTAATGTAGGCAACCAGAGTTGCAAATGAAGCCAGGGATTTGAATTTCCCGGGCTTCATTTGCATATAGCTGGGCGCCGCCATTTTTAAATGTCCTCTACACGTGGCACGGATTAGGTAGTTCGGACTAGGGTTAACGGATTCCGCAGGTTTCCGTCCATGTCGGTGTTTTCCTGCCGGAACCGTTAAAGTGACACTCGTGTAAAGCCAGAGCATGCGAGTGAGGGGTGCGGGAGACTCTCTTGGTTACAACAGTCTTGCTGCCCACTCGCTAGCCTTGATTGCCTATCGCCAGTGCACAGGCTGAAAGTGAATCCAGCATCTTTCCTGTGTGAAACCCCAGAGGGCAGCACAGACCCGTTGTTCAGTTCCCAGCTTTTCCACAAGCACCCAGCATGTCTTTATTTTCCCCTGGCCAGGTTCTAAGCCCCCCTCTTGCTCCGTGAATACTCCTGGGCTGTGTCTAGACTGCTTTTGTGGAAAAACTTGCCAGCTGTCTACACTGGCTGCTTGAATTTCCGCAAGAACACTGACGATCTCATGTAAGAAATCAGTGCTTCTTGCGGAAATACTATGCTGCTCCCGTTCGGGCAGAAGTCCTTTTGGGTAAAAGCTTTTGCACAAAAGGGCCAGTGTAGACAGCTCAGATTTGTTTGGTGCAAAAAAGCCCCAATCGCGAAAATGGCGATCGGGGCTTTTTTGCGCAAAAGCGCGTCTAGATTGGCACGGACGCTTTTCCACAAAAAGTGCTTTTGCAGAAAAGCGTCCGTGCCAATCTAGATGCTCTTTTCCACAAATGCGTTTAACGGAAAACTTTTCTGTTAAAAGCATTTGCGGAAAATCCTGCCAGTCTAGACGTAGCCCTGCTGTTCAGTCTTTTGAGGGACAATGCTGGGGGTGGAATTTTCAGCAGCAGAATATAATTATCCAACTTGGAATTTGGCCTGGACTCAGTCCGTCCTCCTGCTCTTTATGAAATACGTCAAAAAACCAAGTGGCCACAGAGGCTAAGTCTGCACGGCAATGTTATGTTAGGATACCGGAGTATCCTGCGTCTTCACAGCAAGCCCGTTATTTCCGGCGTGCTTTTCCGACGTCCCTGTAAACCTCATTCCGTGAGGAGTTTCGGAATAGCGGGCTCGTTCGAAATAAGCGCTGCGTAGTCGTGCCAAAGTACGAAATAAACTATTTTGAAATAAGATTGAAATAAGATACGTGGTTTGCACAGCTCAAATTGCGTAGACGCACTCTTCAATGCCTCACGCAACGTTACAGGGTTGCTCAAGAACTGAGCTGCTCAAGATAGTGACTCTACAGATTTATAAATACAGTACAACTGGACACACGACCAGACTCAGATCTAGGCATGTTACTGTGGTGAGTTTTTCCGCCCAGAATCTACAACTGTTCTGAAACTGGGACACCTTCAGAAAAGTACCTTGCTTCATGTTCTCAGTTAGTAGCATTGTTACCGTCTAACGTCGCTCCAGAATGGGCATCCTGAGAAAATTCTGTTTTTCGAATGGGACTCTCAGTAAAAAGGATCTGGTAGGTGCTTGACAAAACTGAAACAACAAGCAAAGCCAGGGAGTGAAATATTGCTGCCTGCTTTCTCCTCTTGGCTCTTTTGGTTCTGTAATCTTGGTGCGTTCCTTATCATAAGGGAGCGAGCTTTTTATTGTCTCTCCTGACTGTCACTTCCAGTTTGATGCTGTTAAAATCAGCCAGCCTGTTTCCATGCTCTGAATAACTCCATTTTGCCCTCAATTAAGTCCTCCCAATAAAACAATTCCCCCTTCACCTTTCCACAGGCGTCACAAGGCAATCACCCACATTAAAACCATGAATTCCTAACAACTAGAGAGATTGCCCCCGAATCTGGATTCCCTCACTCTGGGCAAAGTGTAAAAGCAGAAGCCACCAGCAAATCCCTCTGGATGAGGGAGGATTTCAGGATCTGGCCGTTCTCAGGCCCTTGGGAAATGATCATTCCAGGCCACATTCCAGTTTGGGCCAATGCATAAGGGGGAAGAGTTCTGAGAGGTAATTAATCACCTGCTCTGTGGGTCTTCCCATCACTTCCTCATTAGAGGGAGGGGTTGCATAAGAATAGGGACCATGTGGAGCCTGTAGAAGGTTGACAGCTTGGGACTGGGGATGCGGGGAGGTGTTGACATCAAAGAGGCTGCTCCGGGAGCCCCAGGTATATAGTGTCTGTAGGCAGCAGCGAAGAAGAAAGTCGCAGAGCCAGACAGCTCCGGGTGTTGAAAGGAGCCAGAGGGGACTGTAAGCAGCTTAGCTCAGAGAGAGGCAGCGATGCCACCCAGGCGCACGTGCGGTGGTTGGGAGCTGGCGTTTTGGGCTCTCACCCTCCTGCAGCTGGGCACGTCGGAGCCCCGCGGGGTCCTGCCGCACAAGGATGAGCAGCAGTTGCCTCCTGCAGGATCTGGCCCAGGGCTAACGAGTCCGTCTGCGGTCCGTGGCATCAGGCCCTCGCCCCGGGCGCTGTGGTACCCGGTGTACATGATGCAGCTGTACCGGGCTCTGGTCACCGGGAATCCCCTGGGGCAGCCCACCAGGGAGACATCAGCGCTGCAGGAATCGGACACGGTCCTAAGCCTCCGGGCTAGAAGTAGGTGATGCTCATTTATTCTTGTGTCTCTCCTTCCCTGTGTGCCTAGCTGGCCCCAAGAGGGG